ACCCAAATGGGATTTAACACATACACAGATAGACACATTACTGAAACAGCACACACAACAGAAAGCTTTAGAGGCATTCTGTTTTGTCTTGATTTTGTCTTGCCTACCGTTTTTGCTCAGCAAGAGTCAGTACAACCTGTTTAAGGCTGCTATTACAAAAGAGCAACTAGAAGCAGCACAATCATATTCTAACAGAGGGCAATGAGTTTCCAGCCCCAAGTTCAGAGCTTACCTTGTTTTTATAATAGTTGGTATGGATTCTAGCTAGACTCTCGTACATTTCATCACAGGTCACGGGATCAGCAATCTACAAGAAAACAGATTCTTCCTGGAATGTCCATAACAAAATGTGCACCCAACAGAGATTGTTACTGATGTTTTAGACAAAGAAATTACCATATATATGCCAGTTCTGACCTACATACCTATTTATGTACCTACATACCCATTTTGACCCAAGTCAAAAATGAAGTCATCTAGTCTAACACATTACTCCAAAGAAGATTGTCAGTTAGTTCCCCATGGATCAGTCTACACAATCCCATGTACCACATATCATAAAAAGAGAGATGTACTGCCAGGAGGTGCTTGCATAGTACCTAGTTCCAGATGGTGCTAGCAAGTAAGTTTAACTACACACAACAGGAAAAGATAATAAAAACCCAAGGTCACTAGCCACACTCTATAAATACAGCAAATCAATAACTAAACCTCATCTTCTTTAATGGTCATAACTCCAATGTCTCTAGCTGTGGCTTAGATGCACCAGAGAAGTGGATAAAGCAGATCAGAGGGTCATATGCAGGCATGGAGACAGAATTAATGTCAAAGTAAAAAACTGTTTAACTTACGCATTAGTTTATAACTTAATATTATTGTTTTGGCTTCGAGTGACACAAAATGAATACTTAAAATAGAGACTTTTGTGACTAAGATGAATTTCTGGAGGAGAAACAGGATGTAATTACCAGAATGATCACTGGCTATGCAGGAATTCATTCCCTAAATAATGTCCTCTTGGAAAACAATCTTCTAGTGAGAAAATTATGCGTCAGAATATTATACAAGGACTCATCTTTCACAGCATCAGATATTGGCCAATGCTTACTTCAGGAAAATGGAGCAGACAGCCAGCACAATCTCCTTTACATATTTTTGTATTCATATTGAAAAATCCTTATAGTATTACAGTGATTAAAGGGGAAGCAGAAATGGTATTTCAAAAAAAGAAAAGAAAATACTGCATCACATCTCATCACACATGAATAAAACTGAAATTACACTTACTTTTTATAGCTCCAGTTCTGTTCTGTGTGCATTCCTCCTAAAATTTGGTGGTAAATTTCTCTTTATTGTATGTATGTTATACATACAAAATGATACCAGTGCTTAAGTATCAATTTATATGTTTTAAAACTACATAGTAACTTTGGGAAGTTAGTGTGGAAGTGAGTTTTTCTCAGCATGATAGAAAAGTGCCTTCTGAAATGCATGCAGAAGACTTTTCCAGTGACATAAGTAACAACCATTTTCTGCGCTACTCTCAGGACAATCAAAAGATGTTGGATCTTGTGTCATTAACACAAGTATACTTTCCCACAGAGTATACTTTCCCACAAAGAGTCCATTGCATGCTGATGTACTGTGACAATGGATACTCATATGCAGTCCCAGGACTGGGGAAAATACTCCTACTCTTAATGAGATAAGCAACCAAAGACATGTCTATCCAGCAAACTGTCCTTGGTCCAGGCTACATGCCATAGTACACAAAAGGTAACACAAAATGTATCCCCCACAGCTTTGCAGAGAAGAAAACCATGACTTGTCTCTTAAAAGTCAGGAGAACAGCAGAAAACTAATCCACAAAAACTGGTAGCAGGATGCCTGAACCAGTACCACATTGGAAGGCAAAAGAAACCTGGCAATTTTTGAATAAACCAGAGATGTCAATGACACTAAGCACTGGCTGGCCATAAATAGCTAAAGCCCTTCCTGAGATTACTGAAAATAACTCATTCTTTTTGTCTCAGTGCCTGCTACTCAACTTACCAGGCCCTACAACTAAGCATCCCACTGGCCCTCACCACGGGTGACTGTATGACAAAACTTCTAAAACTGAAGCAATTCTGTGTAAAAACCTTTTGGAAGCCCAACTTTAACATCACAGACATGTTTTTCCCCACTAGATGCAGCCACAAGAGGGAGACACAGCTTTTCTCAAAATTCCCTCCTGACGAGTTGAAGAGACTGTGCGATCTTCCTATTCAAATAAGGATCTGCCAGCCTACTGGGAGTTGTAGTTGGGCCAAACTGCCTCTCTTGCTTCAGAATCCAGAAGCAGTGGACCTGTGACAACTACTATGGGTCAAATCACGAATATTATGCGTGCCTGAAGCACCTTCCCCGCTGCACCAGTCCACGTGCTTTGCCACCTTAGCTGCATTTGTCTTTGCTAGATGCCTGCGAGGGAGGCGACCCCCATTTAACAGGCAAGAAAATAAAGGACCCGTCAGACTCTCGCCCCTCCCTGTTATAAAGCTGATTCTGCATCTTGAGGGGACGAACAAGAATATGAACTGAGAAACATTTGCAACCACAATCCTTTACGCCCTTACTTGAGAGCAAGCCCCACTGAAGAAACATCAAAGGCCCCAGCTCTCCTCCTCCTGTCCCCTGATCACCCCCACCTGCGTGTTCTCTCCCTCTCGGAAGGCCTGGGCCACCCGCTGCCGCAAGAAGGTGCCCAAGTCACGCCCACGTTTCGTTTCCTCCACGGGCCACTCCTCACAGAGCTTCAAGAAGCGCCGGTAGCGCGTCACCGCCATCTTGGGCAGTGCGTCCCCGTCACCACTAGCAGGAGGCTCACGTGGTCTTAGCTCCGC